AAATATACCATTTTAGAGATCATTCAATTGTCTAAACAAAGCAGCTAAAAACTTTGCTATACATATCTTGACAACACTAAAAAATTCATTGTCAAAAATAGAATTCTCTTTAGAATAATACGTTCATTTTTGTATAATACAAAATTACTGCACTATTAAACGACAATATGTTCGTTGTTGATCAAAATCTTTTATTATACAAATAATAACTAAGACAAAAGAAAAACCAAGATTAACGAAACCAATTTGATAATCCAGGTCGATGAATTGTTGCAGCATTTTCTTTATTAGTCACTGACGCCATACGTTTTTCATCTTTAGCAAGTTCATCAAATGGCAGTCGACCACGCCATATATCAGGATATTCAAATGTTTCATTTTTCTACAACAATATTCGAACAAAACAAATGTAATCGAAAAAAAAATTTTTTTTTCGTTTACCAAGAATGCATAAGCAAATTTTCGATCTGGATCAGGATCAACTATTTCTGATGAAACCGGATGACGATTTTCCTTACCTAAAAAATAAATTCATTTGTAAAGATTTAATAAAATATTACATTATTAATACCTTGTTGAATGATCGTTGTTACATCAAGTACATCAACTTTGTAAATCTTTTCTAAATACTGTTTTATATCATTTTTAGTCATTCTAGAAAGAAGAAAAAAGTATATATATATATATGGTTAGCAAATAAGAATATACTAATTTCGTACTCAATGTGACATTCAAATCGAACAACATTTGGTCTTATCGAACGATTTTCTTCGGGTCTCATAATTCTCATCCAAAATTGTGGAAAAAAAATTCTATGTCTTGGATCACCAGGTTGCCATTTTGGATATCGAGGTGTCATTGATTTATAAAGATATTGACTAAATTAAATACAAAAAAAAAATTAAATAAATATTAAATATAATTTTTCTTACAGATGTGCTGGTAAACGCATTTTAATTGAGTAGAATTTTAACTAAGATGAAAAATCAGAAAAGAAATCCAACGAGCGCAAATAGACTTGACTATAGAATCCATATTTTACGCATAATAAATATACACAATTGGGTGATAATAATTGTAGTTGTCACTAGTTGTTGATTAACCTTTATTAACGTATTTAATTGATATATTAAAGAAAATTCTTTTTTTACATAGAATAGGAAAAATCATAAGTACATTCTGTTTTAATAGGATCATATTACAACATTAGCACTTAAGACATTAATGACTGTCAAACTCAAATAAATTCTTACGAAACAGTAATTATATGTTAAGGTTTCTTCATAAGTGGCATGCATTTTGATATGGCATCTCGGTTTTTTCAAAAACTTCCGTCATTTTCTGCTTGAAAAATATGTTTTTTTTCCAGAGAAAGTAGAAATTCTAGCTTTTTTTTTTTTGAGAGAGCATGTAAAGATACAGGGAATGGTAGGACCTTATTTTTTGAGTTTTTCAAGACATTGAACTGTTTTCCCCCCTAAAAAGTAAGTTTCAAATTGAAAAAACAATACTGCATAATGATAAACATTGTCACACACTGACAAAACGTGTCAAATACATTGGAAAAAGTTTCGCTGAGATATTACAACAAATTACCGATGCAGTAGAGATTTGAGGAATCATTTCCGGTTCTCAGCAGTTTGAAATGAGTCGGAACGAATTACATGCAAAGACCAGATGCATGCAGTAATAATTCCGTCCGAATGTCGTTATTCATTACCTATGATAATAACCAAAAGAACGCTTCGAACTTCGTGATCATCTCGGAAAAAGATGAGTTCTTTGCAGCTGCCACTTTAAGGTCAAAGGATAAAGAGTATTATAGAAAAATTTGACCTTTATTTTTCAAAGTAACATAAGTTGAAAGAGTCACCCACATTCATGGAACTACTGATTGACTGTATAAGTCCTAGTTAAATAGTTCAAATTCACTTGAAACGCAAAATGATGAATATTAAGTTCAACTTAACTGTACCATTCTTATAGATATTCTTTGTAATAGAGAATTTAAATTACTGACCGTTTTTCAGCTAAATTATTTTAAGTTGTGAGCAGCAATAGGCAATAAACGATCAATTGGCCTACAATTTTTTAAAAACTTATTGCTTTCATAAAAACCGATGTTTATTGAAGAAAAGTTCGTTACTCTCGACTAAGTGGCGAACTCGTTCGTTTTTTTTGTACTGTTTCACAAATAGAATCATTAGCGAATTTAACTGGAATAACGAGAGTTTTGACAAAAAAACCCATTGAATTATCATCACTGTGAGCATCTAGTTAATGGAAAACCTATTCAGTTAATCTTTCTGGATTACTTGATCAGATCACAACACGACACAATGTATTAAAATGACATCACTTCAGTCATATTAAAACTCTTCGGCATTGGGCGATTGTTATCATTTTCAATATCTTTACTTGAACTTTTTCAAGTTCTAAACTTTCTGGCTAGAACTTAAAATGGTTCAAAAGATGATATCACAATCCAGAACCATAAAAGATTTAGTATGATCTGTTTTCGTTTTAGATAGCGAACACGTTCCTTTTTTTTTGGCAATGACCAACAACAACAAACAATCATTAATCCTTTTTATCCATTGGTAACTCTATTAATTTTTTATCTCCCATTTGTTTTGAATGTAAAACACTTTAAATCCTTCAAACGGATGAAATAATGGACGAAAAGAACAAAATTAGAAGTGCAGTTAGCTTAAAACAATCCGCATATCAAGCAGCTCCAAATGATGAAGCACAACAGAAACCGAAGGAAAATAGAGGTGAGCGTAAAATGTTGATGGCTATCATCGATTTTTTGAAAAAAATCGATCATAGTCGTCTATCTTCCCTATTTCTGTCGTCCTGTTATAGAATCATGGAATTTAGCTCAATTTCAACACACAACAATTCAAATATTATTAATTGAAACAAAAAACGTTATCATCACATTTAGTTCATGAAGCAATACATAATAAATCATTATTTTTAGCTATTTCTGGCTTAACAAATATTCCCGATGATGAAACATTTCTTACTGTTCCACTATTTCCACTTGTTACTGAGCAACACTGTCTCATTCGTGTTGCTTGTTATCACTTTACTATGAATATAATTAAGAAAATTCTTCATCATGTATTTGATCGTGACCATTATTATTATCATCATCATAATGTATATGTTCCACTGAACCTTCTTTTCCGAATAGTTCACATGGTTCCATGTTTCTTTTCTCGACTCTTTTTGATTCTCTATCTTTATCATCTATCCCGTTTATGTTTTTCTTGTTTTTGATTTTATTATTTTCTTTCATTTCCTTATTAATTGTTTATTCTCATGGTGAATGATTGTATTTCATTTAAAACTTTTCTTTTTCAATGGAGTAAGGTGTTATGATCTGACATCTATATGATAAACTAATCGTCTATCTTCTCTATTTCTTCTGTACTGGCTCGCTTTATTCTTTTTCTTCTCTTTAACGATATGCATATGTTGTTATGCATAACTAGGTAGATAATTTAAATAAAATAAAATAAAAAGATTGTTATTCTTAAAAGGAACACGTATTTACTCTTAAAAATAAAGTTACGAAAAGAAGAACGTAACGCTAAGACAGTTAGATTTTGAATAAATAATGCGTTCTTTTTATTATTTCACAACGTGTCGTTTATATCAAACACGTGTATAAATTAGTTTTTCATTATGATAGGTTAGAAAACACTTTCGCCATTGAACATTTAGTTGATTTAAAATCTCTCTCTTTAAAATTTGAGGTCCCATTTCAAAAAAAATTCAAAACTCAACTGAGATATAAGGATTTTCACTTCAAAATTGCGTCAAATATCTTACAATGTCTTTGGATTATTTACACAACTAGAGGGATAAGAATGAGGAACTAAGGATCGTCTATTCTATCATATCTTCTGTGGTCAATGTTTGTCGTAATCACATTAAAATACAATAATTAAAATATATAGAGAAAATATCCATAGATTAAATATTATTAACCCTTTGGGGACGGGTTTTTTTTTCTGTATATTTCGTCATAAATCATTCAACGTTTCTATTTTCTAAAAGAACTTATAATCTATTACTGGATATCTGAATAAAATAACCTAATTACAATCCAAATTATACCAAAAAACTCTCTGATAAATGCTTTCACAAAAACTAATCTCATATAGGAATCTGCGTGTTTTGAGATGCTAGAGAATCGCCATGGCCCCTTAAGGGGCCAACCGTCCCCAAAGGGTTAAAAAGATTTCACACTCAGTCTAAACCGAAGTTGATTCATTTATTTTGCATCTTTTTTACTTCACATACACATCTCGATATCTTTCTTGCGTTCGGTAGTTATTTAATAATTAAGAAACTCTGAAAAAAGCGTACATAGTTCCATTAGTAGCATCATCAGAAAATCATAGGTGGCAAAGCGGTGCCCTACGTTTTTCAAAAAAAAACTCATCCAAAACAATGTAAATGATAGTGATTGTTGTTTTTTTTCTTGATGGAAGGGGGTGACACCTGGTTTGATTCACCTTTAGTTGTGTTACTAAATTCTATTCGCGAGTCTTCAAAGAGTTAACATTAGATTTTCGATCCCATGAGTTTTACTGTACATTTTTAGATGTCGAGTCAAACAATAGAAATAAAATGATTACTTTTATATTATTTAAAATGAATTTCATTGTATTTAAGGAGTCTCAAAAGAAATTTTTTTATTGGTTTCTATTTTCTCCAATAAACACAATTGTTTAGCTAGAAAAGAAACGAAAGATGAATACCTGACAAGATGTGACTTGTTACAAAAAAAATCTAATCTTTCGTTAAACGACAACAAATAAATAGTGAATGCTTTTAATTAAGTGATATTAACTCTCATTTTTAGTTTTTGGTTTATTTATTCTCTTCTTTGTACCTGTACATGAACCAATTGTAACCAAGATAAAACGATCATATCATTAAAAGTTTTATTATTTTCTTTTCATTTTTGCTTTTTTTTTCAGATGGCATCTGATGCAAAAGCAGCTGGTAGTATGGTGACAAAAGAAATCGAATCTCGACTTAAGTAATGAATAAAATTATTTATTTTATTTTTCATTCGCTTCTTTTAGAGAAACACCTGAACATTTGTTTGAAGTTTTTCTTGAGATTCGTGAACCAGTTGATAATGAAAGTAATTCAAATTGTCTTAATATTCATGGAAAATTTTTTAAAATTTGATGTGCTTTTTTATTTTTTAGAACCGAAAGTCTTAATAAAATATCCAAATGATTTTTCTGATGATGGTCTTCAAAATGTAACAAATTTTGCTTATCCATGCAAAACACCATTGTAAGATTTCTTATCAAAGATTAAAAAAAAAACAATCTTCTTAATGTTTTAAATATTCATAGAGATGAACAAAGTGAACATTTTGCATTTGTCATACTTGATACAACCGGTACTCTATTTCGTTTTGGTTATTGTCGACGATCGAATCGTGAATCTACATGTTTATGTATTATCAGGTAGAAAAATTTATTTATATCTAAATTTTCTATTCAACTAAATCTCGTTTTATAGTTTTTATCCATGGTTTGAAATATTCTATAATATTTTAAATGATTTATCTCAAATAATTAATTCAAAATCAGTAAGAATATTTTTATTTTGTAAATAAATATATATTTATATGAACAGTTAAAGGATTCTTCTCAGTCATCGATTTTAGTAGGTGGTTTTAAATTGCTGCTATTCGAGCTTATCTTAAACATTTTGTTTTTCTATAAATTATATTTATTTATTTTTTTTTTTTGTTTCATTTTTCAATAGACTGCCGATATGGAACAATTCTTATCATCATTATATAATTATAAATTAATGTCAAATGAGGAATTTTATAAAAATGAAGGAAAAGAAATTATTGAAATAAATACTCTTTCGAAAGTAAAACAAAATTTTTAAATTATTTGATTTTGTTTTTGATGAGAAGAATTTAGAGTTATACGTATACTCGATCTGATCCGCGAAAACTGCCTTCAATGTTATCTAGTGTAAGTATTCATTAGAAATTAGTAAGATCTAATGAGAAAAGTCTTCAAATTGAGTAACTGCTGTTGAATACAAACTATGTGGATTCTTATAAGCTATGAATATCTCGATAATATTTCGAGATCTTAGATTATTGACGTGAAAATACTAAAGTTTTCGAGTATTTTTTTTAAGCCGATAACGTACTCTATATCAGGAAAACTAATTTTTGGATTTCAACTTGAAGGCGCGGTTTTGGATGTGGGTGTTGTGGTTTCTCTTTCACTCACACCTCCACACTCAACTTCTAATCAGTTGAAAATTATTGATTTTCAATTTGTGTATAATAATTCTATGCGTCTACATTTGACACTATCTCTGTTGTTTTCTTTATTTCTCACATATTAATAAAACTAGATATTCATCTTAATTATCAAATCAATATTTTCATTAAATAGATTTTTTAATTTTAATTTCAGCGTAATTTCACTGTTATGGTTTCACGATTGGGTCCAGAAATAATGTTACGTCTTTTTTCACATTTACTTTTCGAACGACGTCTTCTTTTTGTTTCATCGAAACTTTTCCATTTAACTGGTTTGTCCTTGTTTGTTTGTTTTTTTGTTTTTTTGTATTATTAATTTTCTCTAGCATGTGCATATGGATGTTCACATTTAATTTATCCAATGCATTGGTAAATATTTTTCCTAATTAAAAATTAATAATTTTTTTCTCTCTGTCTGAAAAATAAAAATATAGGCAAAGTATATTTTTACCAATACTTCCTTCATCAATGACATGGACTGCACAATGTACTGCACCATATATAATTGGTATGCATTCAAGTGTATTTTCAACATTAAATATGGATGAATTAGGTGATGTTGTAATTGTTAAAATTGATGAACGAAAAATTGAATCACAATATGATGATCTTAATAATTTTCCTAAACATTTAATTCGAAGTATGAAAAAAGGTATTCAACAATCATCACAATTAGCTGGAGATCATTTAGCAAGAATTTTTCTTCGAGCTATGGCATTTTCTGTTGGTTAGTAAATTTAATTGATTTTTGTTTTCAATATGACAAAAATTTACTATTAGACTTTTCAAAAAATATATTGATTAATAGGTAATTATGCAAATGGTTTTATAATTAAAAATGATAAATCAGATTTTGATCGAGATCGTTATCTTGAACCATATCTTGGATCTCATGTACATTCATTTATGTCTGCTGTTGCTCATACACAAATGTTTGAACAAGTTAAAAAGAAAATTCTTGATTAAATATAAAATACAAAAGAGTATTTCGTTTCTTTTTTTAGTTTTCACGATATCGAACTTATGCACAACTTCAACGTGAAACTGATGTCGATGAATTTGATCTTGAAGTTAAGAATTTACAAAAACTTCAACAATCAAAAAAAGTAAATATTACAACAAAAAAAAAAAAAAAGAAATTTTTCATTAATTAATTTAGCCTTTTCAGTTTTGGACACGAGAAATTTTTTTAAAAGCAAGTAACATATGCATGTACCCTAAGAATTCCTTTTACCTGCAAGTATTTACCTATACATATTACAAAGTGAAACATTTCGTAGGGATATTTTCTTAGAGAATCTTCAGCTAGAATACGATTTTTCGAACTTATATTTCTTTATTTTAAGAAAAATGAAATCATTATATAGTGGATCCCAAAATTATTCAACAAAGTATAATTTGAATGTTTTTTTTCGTAGCCTTAACTGCTAGAAAAAATTCAAATAGTGATTTGCATAGAGGATATTGTTGCCAACAATAATTTGAGAAAATCATAACCGTCATGAATTTTCTTAAAATAGAATTTCTGGAAAACTCAAACATCGAGAATCCATAATAGAAAACTTGTTTTTAACAGTCTAGAATTATAGAGCAACCAATTCTCTATAAAATGAGACGTCTCTGGGCTTTCTACAATATTCCCTTCAAAAGTTATAAGCATCACAAAAATTGAGAAAAAAAAGTGAAATTTATGGGAAAATCGACTAAAAAATGCATTTTTTCCATTTTTGTGATGCTTATAACTTTTGAAGGGAAGGTTGTAGAAAGCTCGAAGACGTCTCATTTTATAGAGAATTAGTTGCTCTATAATTCTAGACTGTTAAAACAAGTTTTCTATTGTGAGTTTTCGATGTTTGGGTTTTCCAGAAATCCTATTTTAAGAAAATTCATGACGGTTATCATTTTCTCAAACTATTATTGGCAACAATATCCTCTATTCAAATCACTATTTGGATTTTTTCTAGCAGTTAAGGCTACGAAAAAAAATCCAAATTACATCTTGTTCAATAATTTTCGGACCCACTGGATAATTACAAAGAGCTAACAAATGTGTCAGACATGAGAAATTGTTTTCAAGTTCTTTAATAGATCATAGATATAAGTTTTTCCTCTTTATATATGATTTAAATATTGCATTTATCTATCATATATCAACGGAGTACTGCTAACAAGCTAAGATCTCCAATAGATTCCGCATATTTTAATTAATAATAGCTTTTGTCCCATAGTTGTTGTTTCAATAGAAATTTGATTCATTCAGATGTATACTTTTGTATGTGATGATGAACCAGCGTCAGTAGCTGAAGAAAAAATGTCAATAAAAATTGATGATTATATTGTAATTGTTGATGAATGAGGAGTGTTAGGCAAGAATATTTGCTGCTCATTATAGAAATGTTGTAGCTAATGGAAAAATTACCGATATGCACCATGTAATCCCTAATAAGCTATGGATATTCTGTATATTAATGCGATGATACTGAATTTTAACGGTATTTTTTAACCTAATATCATAGTGCACATCAGAAACACTAGGAAAATTTCTTTTTGTTATTCCTGTTCTAAGATATGGCTATAGTAAAAGTGTATTATATACATTGGTAGATTCGATGTTTTTATTTCAGAATAGAAGTAAATCAAAAGATCTAAAACTTTTACAATAAATTATCCTTATTAAGACTTGACTATACCATTGTGTTAAAAAAATATCGTCAAAATTCAGTATCTCCACAGCAATAACTACGACTCCTGAACTCTTCTCAGGACATTAATTGCTCAGTAGAATCTACATAATTCATATAGTTCTGATTCAAAAGTGATTAATAGACTTCTCGTGTAAGAATTAAATTCCCATAGAAATATTCGATCGTATTTTTCATTCTTGATTGATCATACATATGTCAATAAATGATATTTTATTTTCTTTCTAGTTCAAAACAAATAAAAAAATTTATAAACTATTAGAAAAAGTAAGTTCAATTTATTATTTTTGTATGTTTTTTTTTTTTATTTTAATAATCCAAAAAAAAAGAGATTGTCATAAATTGCATGGAGAGTTTTTATAGTATGTAAAAGATGGCACAATAATAGACAGTAATATTAATATACAAAAAGTTGATACAAAAGCAAAAAAGCGAAAATCACTTATCGATACAAGAGATGAAAGAAATAAGGTATCATATGACGATTAAATGTGCTTACAATGCGCTTGTTGCGTTTTTCTTTGCTCGATGTGTCCTATAAAGAAAAAGAAAAAGAAAAAAAAAAGAACAAATTTTGTTTTTTTTTTCCATCTAGGCAGCAAATCCATTAATTGAACAAGTTCAAAATAAAAGTGAAAAATTTCAAACAGCTGTAAGTTAATTTTTTTTTGTGAGAAAAATTCTTCTGAAATTTTTTTATTTAGATTAATAAAGCTGGACAACGTGTTGCTAGTGAAGCATCATCAGTAAGAAATAATTTAACATCATTCGATGTAAGTTAAATAGATAATGGAGAAAAAAATAATATATTTTGTTTTTTTTTTTTTCTTATTATAATTAGCTTAATGATGTTATTAAACGAGTAAATACTTCTAAAATTCGTGATCCTGTAAGTTATTTAAATTAAAAAATTTTTTTTTTTTTTTTAATAAGTTTTAATATTATATAAGATTGCATTAAATTATGCTCGTGAAATAAAATCAATTCATCAAGTAAGATTTTATTTTAATTTTCAATTTTAATTTCTTTTAAATTTCTTTATTTTAGTCAAGTTCACCTGATTTACTCAATGAAAAGTAAATAGATTTTAATATATAATGCAAAAGTATTTGGACTCATATCGATCCATATCAGGCCTCGAAACGAGCTACTTGGTCTGACGATTTTATCCTTTTCTGACTCACCCCTTAGGTGGGATCGGGAGAAAGTTTCCGCGCTACCCCTCTCCGGTCATCACTTTTTTCTAAAAGACGAAAAATATGCAATATCTCTCCATTGACTAAAAAATAAATCTTTGTAAACGAAATTTTCTTCGGGCGGACCATTAAGAAGTGACCCGATTTCGAGGTCTGATCCGTATTTCTCTTCGATAGAAAGGAATGTTAAAAGAAAACTTTCCCTCAACAAAAGATAGAATTTTTTCCTCTTTCGAATTTATTTTTGTTACAAGTTTATAAACGAGAATGGCATAATTAGAAATGAATAGATGTTGTATTCGAACGACTAGAGTATTTTGCAATATTACTTCTAAATGAATGTAAAATATTTTTCATCATCGATAGGACCTTTGAAACTGATTCACGAGTTATTAGATTTATTTTGGATCGAGAGTTTATAACAGTTGTTTTCAATTTTTGATTTGAAAGTTTTATTCAACGATCACTCCTTGGTAAAGAATTTAGTTGGTTTACATGTCAAATATTTATATAATAAATTGTTGCTTTTGTAATTCCTTCTTTTTTAATAAAATAATTAACTATCGTTTTACACGAACTTACTTGATAAATCGATATAAAAATTGCAAATTCATTGTGCGAGTATTTCTTTTTCCTTGCATGCTACTTTCTTTATAAATGTATAACAAAATTAAATTCTTACTAAATTCATGTGATTCAAACTGAACAAAAATCTTCAATAGACCGACAATTAATCGAAGGTAGTTTGATACTTAAATGGTTGACTATCCTCTAGTCTAGAGCCTGAAAGCGAATCGAACCAGCTTATTGAAACTGAAAATGAGTCTAACTGAAAATCTATAATTTCCAACTATGTTTGTATTTTATATGTGTTTGCGATTACTTTTGCTACGTTTGTATCACGAGATTCTTCTACTATTTTTCATTCGTCATTTCAATCAGAGTCCAAAAATGAATCGAACGTAAAAGTACCGATTCATTTTGGGCTTTACTCTGATCGTTATTCTACTGCACTATACCGATAGTTGTTCTCCAACCAGCAGTATTACGAACAAAATACTCACACGGTCGACAACAACATAGATTTCGTTTTAAGAGTTTGGGAAAATGTTAGACCAAGTTTCTGTCATCATCTTTTTATCCAAAAAACAGTCGAAAAACCTACAGAATAAATCATAGAGATCTTACTCTCTCGTTCTACATGAAAAAATTTATTCTAAGATTTAGACTATTAGGAAAAGTATGCATATTTCACAGAATATTTTCGCTCTGTCTGACATATCTACTTACTTAGCATAAATGCTTTTGGACTAAGATATAGGTTTTTTAAAAGTTTTGCATACATTCTTTTATCTCAGAAGTACTTTAAGAGAAAGAAAAACAAGAATATGGAATTGGTACAGAAAACTCCATTGAATAATATAGCATTTGTTTTATTTTTAAAATAAAAATTTAGAATCCCCTACCCTCATGAATTTTACATTGAAAATCTTCTATCGAAGAGAAATAATGATTGATATATGGTCCAATTAATTTTGTATTACATATTCTTAGATCTATTCCTTATGGACAAATGCGTTCAAAAGAAGATATTTTCTCTTCGGAACCACGATTAATTAATCAAGATCAAATATCATCTTCATCATCGTCATCATCACCTTCATCAACACCTGAACTTGAACGACATAGAAGTAATCCATTAATAAATTTAGAGATTGATGATAATGATGTATGATTAAATATTTATTTTTGTCTATTGAAAAAATTTTTCTTTTGTTTTATTGATTATTTAGAATCCATTATTACCATCTCCTATTACTCTAAATGTAATTAATACTTCTGTAACATCACCAATTCAACGTCAAACTCCTCAAATTGATTCAAAAATCAAACAATTACAAGATGAACTTCAATATAAAGTTCAAACATTTGATAATAAACGTATTGATCCTCGTAATGAATATGGACAACAACAACAACAAAAAGAAATAAAAAAACTTGTTGAACAATTTGATCCACTTGATGATTCAAATAAAATAAAAACAAATTCAAATGAATATTTTTCTACAATACCTATTCATTTTCGTTCGGATGATAAATTATCATCAAATACATCTGATCGTCATCGATCTATTTATGAAACAATACCAACAAATTATGTTAATAATGTTTTACAAAATATACAAACAATATATGGTACAACAAGTCGATCAAATTTACGATCAACATATTCTATACAATCAAAATCACAAGAAAATAATTTTAATCATTTTTCTCCAATGTCAACTGCACCTGCTAATTTATTTCCAACAAAAACATATAAAAATATAACAGATGATGCATCATTAAGTTTTGATCCATTAGCACCATCAAAAGAGAAAATTTTATATCCAAATATTCCATCATCATCATCATCAGCAGCAGCAGCAGCAGCATCAGCAGCATCACAGACAAATGAATCAAATTTAATTGATTTTAATTAATAACTTTCTTTCTTATTTACGCATTTCTGTTGTCTTTTTTTTTTTTTCTTTTGTATTTCTAGTGTCTTTCATAATATTATTTGTCGTTTTCTTTCTATACTATCGGTTTATGCTTGAGAATGGTGATAACCAGCGAAGAGTTAATGCAATTATTATTATTATTATTTTTTTTTGCTTTATTAATTTTGTGAATTTGTTAGCCAATGTACAAGAAAAAAAAAATTATTCATATCTTACTATTTACTTGTATACCAATTTTTTTTCTTTTATTTCAGACTTCTTGTCTCTTCGATTTCATGTCATTTGAAACAAGCCAAATCAAAACGAAAAAAATAAGAATATCCAATGGATGATTCAATGATTAATTCAATTTTATTACCATCTTCAATTCATCTTGAAAATCTTGAAAAATTAATTAAAAATCTTGAACAACAAACATTTAGTGTAGATAATTTTGAAAATATTTTAAACAATGATAGTAAACAAGAGATAATTACTCAATCATCTTCATCTCTTTCATCAAGTACAGTACCTATTAATGATATATCAAATGAAAATTTTCTTATTAAAAATATCACACTTACCAATGATACTACAACAACTGATCATAATCATGAAAGTTTTTCTATGGATAGTCTTTCAACTCAACGTGATTTATTTAGTAATGATGATTTTACAGAACAACAACTATCAACAACTAATGATCAAAGTTTATGCAATGATCAAGATAGTGGATTTACATGGGATGATCAATATGATACACAAGCGAATTATTGTATAACTTTTAATACTGATAAATCTGAAGAAATCGATACAAAATCAGAAAAATCCTCTCAATATGAACATGAATCAACTAATAAAAAATTAAATTCTGCGTATTCTGACGATGATATACTTTCAAATGTTGTTATCAATAATATGAATGATTGGTCTATGCAATTAGATTTAAATACTTTCGAACAATTAATTAATCAATCACAACAAATTCATTCTCAATATAATCTTTCTTCTTCATCATGTCAACAACAAAATCTAAATAATAATTCATCTATATCATCAACATCATGGCGTCAAATGAAACAAAATCAACGAATAACAACAACAGAAATTAAAAAACGAGAAATTCGATCACTTTCACCAATAAATCTTTATAAAATTTTTCAACAAAAATCTAATACAATTACATCATCATCATCATCTCGAAGTGCTTTTCAATTATATCGACAACAGAATGATTCTATTGCTTCAAATCATATCAATAAAATTCTAATAGAAAAATCAAAACAATCCCAATCTCATCCAACTACAAATCAAGCTATTCAAACATCTATTCTAGCCGATTCTTCATCGAACAGTCAATATCAAACACCACCCGTCATAGGTATATCAACAAAAAAATACTATTAAAAGAATTTTTTTTTTTTGTTTTCTTAGGATCTAAATCTAAATCATATGATAATCTCATTGTACCATTTTCAAATTCATCATCATCATCTATTCATAAATCTTTACCTGATCTTTCTTTTATCTCACAATATTTAAAAGAATTACCTCGAACTTATACAACATCATCTTTATCACGAACATCTTCATCATTTATTAATGTTGCTCGTACAACATCATCTCCAATATTAATTCAACAACAAAAATATGATTCAGATCGACCTCGTACACTTAAATCAATTAAACGATATAAAAATAGTAAACATTCAACTGAACCTATAGGTGTTTTTTATAGTCCACAATTACATAAAACATTTGCTGCTGTACCTGTATCAGCAGTTATTACTGATGCAAATGCATCATCAACAGTAATCAAAATGAAATTACCATCATATTCATCACTTCGATCAGAACAACAAATATTAAATCGCAAATCTTGTTTGAAATATCAATCAAGAGCTAATTCTTGTGATATTCAATCTACATTACAAGATAAAAAATTATCATCATTTTCCATTCCTAGATTAATTAATAATAAAGTAAGAATAGATAAATAATCATAATTATACCAATAGAATTTTGTTCCGATATATAGAAAAAAATTTCTTTGTATGTCAATCAATATTTAATTTTTGGATATTAACTCGACATATTACAGGAGAATATGGATTAACTAATATTATCTGGCAGTTTAATGAGGTTTCTATTGCATTTATTTTAAATACTAATAAAAATTTTCATTAATCTTTGCCATTATATTTTATGTTTTGTCTGGCTATAATTAACTAGATTTGCTTTTTTTTTCTCTTTCTATTGACATGAATAATGTTTACAATGAATCTTTTCTTTAATTTCTAGGATTCAAATTTTCCATTATTAAACCAACATTATTCAAAAAATGATACAATTAAATCTTCGAATATTATTTATTCAGATAATTATTCGAATAATTTCAATATTTATCAACGAGAAAATTCATCACGTGAACATCATTCTGAATATGATCTTTCATTATTAATTGAACAAGAAAATCAAACAAAAAAAAGTGTTAGTTTTTCTGAAAATATTTCTAAACAACATCTTATATCATCTTATAATCCAACAATTATATTTAATGAAAATAAAGAAAGATTAACAAAAAGAACAATAATACGATATGATGAAATGCGTCGATGTCAAAGTAAGTTATTTGAGTAGGGTCATCTCATTTTCTTTTTATTTATTTCATTCAAAAGAAACTTAATCCAAACGAGATAATGATTATATACATTGCCATTCGTTATTCATATCTTCTATACTAATCCGATACGATAAAGTCTTGTTGTTCTTATTTTGTAGCTGACATTATTCATATTGATCCTGTTCTTCATCGACATTCACTTACTGATAGTCCACCAAATGAATTTTGCTTACAACAAGATGAAAATGATAAAATTTTAATGGAAAATTCTGATATAAATATGATTTCAAATGATGATGAAATAGAATCAATAAATACAATTGTTTCACCAAAGATTAATTTAATTGATAAAGAAATTAATTTATCTAATCAATCATTTATTTCAAACAATATATCAATACTTGATGGTATAAATAAAAATATTTTTTTTTATTCTAATTCAATAATTTATCTTTGAATTTAGATCTTTTAGAAAAAATCATTGATATAATAAGACGTTTATTTGAAATAAAACAATTTGATAAAGTATAAAAAAAAAATTTTAAATTAAATTTTTTTATTTTTTATTTTTTTTTTTGTAATAGTCATTCTTTCTCAATAATGAAAATAATTTACAATTAGATTCTTTACTTAAAAATGATTTTTGTACAATTATTCAAAATATTCTTGAACATGGTAGAAAAGATTTGAAAAAAATAACTCTATGGAAAATTATTGAAATGTCAATGAATTCAAATAGTACATCTTCATTTTCTTCAAGACAAGTTCCGAAAATTTATTATGAAGCTAAACAAATTGCACAAAATATTTCATCATATTGGTTATATAGATTTCAAGCATTTATTTTCATATTATTAAAGTTCGTTTTGTCTTTTTATTTTTGTGTTTAACAGGATTGAGAGAATTCGAATCATGACTCGGATTCGAAAGTTGAGTGATGTTGATTCAAGTTATTTATTCATAAAAAGGAAAAACTGATAATTGAACGCAAAAAACAAAAAACTCAGTTTTAGAAGAAATTACTGATTTTCTGCAGGAAGAAAATTTAATCAATGATCTTAATTCATATAAACTTGCTAGAAAAATCATGTATATCTCTGCTATATAAACATCAATTGAAGCTATTTTTAAGGCCTCCCCCTCCCTAAAAAAAAGTCAATTTTCGTCAAAAATTTCGAAATTGAGATAAATGCATGGGAAGATAGCCCGTCTTCAAATCTTTCAGAAACGACATTGGCTTTTCTTTGGTATCTCTTTTTTGGCCAAGATTTTCGATGATTTTGATTGACTTCTTGAAAAATATTCTTATTTTTAAAATTATGATTTTTTGATTTTCGTTCCAAGATTTCTCGGTCCCGGCCCTTTCAATATATTTAAATTGTTTTTCTTTGTTTGAAAGAGCGCGTCGAGATGCAGGGCAATATAGAGTCCGTTTTTTAATTAAGCTTTATTTTTTATTATATACACAGACACTTATATGACTGGACATCCATCTTTGGCGCATTTTTCAGTCATTGAACTTGTGAGCTCCTTTCTCCGCGAAAAAAGTAAGAATTCAAAAAAAAGGGTTCTATACTGCCCTGCATTCTGAGATGCTCTTTCAAACAAAAAGAAAATTTAAATATGTTGACAGAGCCCGGACCGAGAAATCTTGGAACGAAAATGAGCTATTTTTGACCCTTGTTTTGGTTCATATCTCTGTCAAACGTCGGAATATCGAGCTGAAAATTTTACCATAGACTCCTCACTTCATTAAAACTATATACATCATCTAGACTCAAATGAGTTTTGAGTGTCCTGAAAAGAGCTCGAATCCATTGCTTATTGCTGCCGACTAGGAACACTGATTTCAGATTTTGAAACTTTGTACAAAGACAAGTTTTTAACGGGTGGTAGTTTATTGTGAAAGTTACAAGTCTTTTAATTTGCTTCTTAGAATAGGAACACCAATAAAACATGAAACATTCACAAAAACCTATTCTCATTAAGGACTGTCTCTGTACAAAGTATCAAATCGAAAATCAGTTTTTCGGATGTACCTAAGGATTACACCACGATATTCATTTTGAAAACTATTGTAAAAGTTCAATATCTCAACAGCAATAAGCTAAGAACCTAATATTCATAGCTCATTTGGTTTTGCATAATACACGTCGTAACAACACTTCCTCCCTTCACTTTATCACAAATTGTATATTAATAATGTCTTCTTCTAATATATGAACTACATCCTTATTGTATTTCTCAAGAGTTATGTAAAAAGGATAGTGAATTTTTTTTAATTAAAATTTTTCTTAACTTTTTTTCTAGTAAAAATGAATTAATTAATTGGCTTTATTATTTTACAAGACAAAAAGATATTATTCAATATTATTATCAATCACCTAATGCTTTAATTCTTGTTTCAATTCCATCAACATTTAATTTATTTGAACGAATAATGACTCAATTAGAAAAAATAACACCATTTGCATTTCAATTAACATATAATTTACCAAATGATTATATAAAAAATGATGAACAATTAAATACATCTATGATTAGTATGAATTCAACAAAAACAAATGCACGTAATTGGCTTATGTCAATATCACGACGTACTTCAAAACATCTTACACAATCAATTATTCAAGATAATTCAAATGATACATTACGTTCAACATTATCAAAAAAATTTAATTCATTTTTTACTCGAACAAATACACAACAATCACAAAGAAAATTAACATCAATAGTTACAACAAAATTACCAGAATCTAAACAACAACAACAACAACAAATTATATCAACAGAACAATTACATCGAACACATTTATCAAATTTATTTACAACTGCTACAACAAATAAACCAATTGTTGTACCAAATGAAAAATTAAATGAATCATCATCTAAACGAATACTTGCAACATTCCAATCGAAAATTTCACGTCCATCATTAAATATTGATACACCTAAATCAACTCGATATCATACTACAGTACCTTTACCGAAATAAATTTTTTTTGTTCTTCTGATAATGTAATTCTGTTTTGTTATTATTCTTTATCATTCCATTTAATCTCATGAATTTTTTGTTTTTTTTTTTTACTTCCAAAATTTATGGGTTGCTATTCTTACTTTTGTGTTTATCTATGTGAAAATATTCAAATTTTAATAATAATAATAATTCGATATATTACCGTGATTAAAAATTTATTTGTAAAATATTCGAAATAAAAGAAATCGTATGAATAAAATATCTTTATCTAAGGCATGATAAAACTAAAGAGACTTTAGCTGATAGAAATATCCATTGTGGCGGCAGGGTTCCTTAGTCTTCATATCTTCACCTTGAATCTGTGCGTTAATTATATAAAGAACAAATTGAAAAGCAAATGATTTGATTTTTATTTATGTAATCTTCTTTTTCATTTTCATATAAATTCTATGCTTTCAAAATGTTTGTAACCATATATCGCAAATCCAGGATTATCTTGTACTTTGGACTGTTCTATCAGTTGAGTAACGCTTAACTCTGATTGATTGTTGTTATCAGCATACTCTACTATCGTACGCTGAGGCATATTTAAAACAACAAGATTCAATTTAATGTTAATAACAATAACATCCGACTATTAACAACAATTCAATAGGATCGACTGATGTTTTTAACATATCCCATTAACGACAGAACTATCCGAGCTGGACCTTTGGAGAGGTCAGCTATGACCATTTAATTGAATTTTGGTCCAGCTTTAAGTATTTACTAAAAAATCAAATAATGGAATGTCGACCTGAAATTTGTCGATAGATAGGTCTGATGATTCTCGGAATATCCTGAAAGTTGCAGCAGAAAATTATGTTCTTTTGTCGAGATATTGAATTTTCAAACTCTAAATGGGATCTAGGCAGAAGTAGCAGATTTTCAGATGCGATGAACATCTGCATTACTTGATTGACAATGTTGTTTTGATAACATTAAAGATACTATTTTCTTCAATACATACGAATTACTCTGAATAAAACCAAAAAAAATATACACATGATTTTTCTCTTCATCATTTCAAGGAAAATATTCGAATATTTCTCATTACTATATATTTTTTTGTACTATATATTTTAGATTTTATAATGGCAGAAGGAGATGATCAAACATCGACTATTTCTTCTTCGATAAATAATGATGTTAATGAACAATATCTTGCTAGTTTAATAGAAATGGGTATTGATCAAGAAGCAGCTCGACAGGTTTTATCATTTTTTAAAACTAATTAAAATACTATTTCAAATTTGTATTTTAGGCTTTAAAACTTGTTAACAATCGAAGTTTAGAAGATGCTTTAGCTGTTATTTTTGACGAATCAACTTCGTCTATCAACAACACTAAAGAACAACGAACAGCGGGTAATCAAACGGACATGACTGCAAATTCTATTTTCCAAAATTCAAATATTGAAGTAAATACACCTATGGTGAGTCTTCCACAAATCAAATCGAATCCTGAGAAAGCTCACCGTCAAAAAATTTTTCATAAATCCTCGTTTTTTTTGGAAAATAAGCCATTATTTTGTTGCAAAATCAAGGTAATATTCGAAATCACTTCATTCAGCTACATCGAACCATTTATAGTAAAAAAAAAAAGCATTTTAAAAAATTGACTTTCTCGATTTAGTAAATATTATGCACAGTTTCAATCAAATTGAATTCAAACTTTCTATTTAGAATACAAATCAAAATGATGATATCGATGAAAGTATAATGACATATAAAATGTTATTTGTTGTTAATGGTTCATTACAAATGAGTTCAGGTAAAATAGCAGCACAAGTTGCACATTGTGCAATAGATTTATATCAAAAATTAATTGAAAAAAATTCAAAATCTTTAAATTATTGGTATGAATATGGTGAAACAAAAATTGTTGTTCGTGGTAAATCAACTGAAGAATTACTTGATATTGAATCTCGTGCTAAAATAAATTCATCTATAATTACATCAATTATTGAAGATGCTGGTCGAACTGAAATCAAAAGTGGTTCAATTACATGTCTTGGTTTATTTGGTACAAATAAACAATTAAATCCAATTACAGGTCATTTAAGATTAATGCAAGATTGTTTAAAATGTAGCGGGAATTAAATATTCAACTAAACAACTACGAAATTTTTATTTTAAAAAGCAAAAAAAAAAAAAAAAAGAACGTTTTGTTGTTATTGTTTTTTGATTGACTAGAAGATTATGAATAAGATCGAACAGAAGTAAATAATTGTAGAAGATCAACAGAAAATTGATTTGAAAAAAATTGATTTGAAGTTATATCATTTGTTGTTGATGTTGGTTCATCTTGTTCATGAATATCTTGCAAAAAAAACAAAATCAATAAATTTTCTTAATTCGAATATTATTTATCAATAAAAAAAACAAACTAACTTTGTAAATTTCGATGAAGTTTTTGATGAGATTTTAAATTACAATGAAGAGAAAATAATTTTCCACATATTTCACATTTATGATCTTTTCGTCCTTTTGAATATGAAAAAAGAATTAATAATAAAAAAAAAAGAAACGATGAGAAAATACCTGTATGAGTTAATAAATGATTTTTAAGATTTGTTTGTTTTGAAAAACCTTTTGAACATTGATTACAACGAAATGGCCATGTACCTTGATGAATATGTGTATGACCACGAAGATCACCTGGTGTTGCAAATGTCTTATCACAATAAGAACATTTATGAGGTTTTTTCTAGAATATTTATTTATTTATTTATTGAATCAAATTAAAAAAATAAAAATTCTATATACTTTTGTATGTGTCATTCGATGATAATAAAGATTTGAACTTGCCGTAAAACGTTTACCACATACTTCGCATGAATGTGGCTAATAAAAACAAAATAAAATAAGACTTTAAAATGTATTCATTTTAAATAATATTACTTTTTCTCCACTATGTATTCGACAATGAGTATTTAAAGAAGATGATGTTGAAAATGCTTTTCCACATGTTGGACATACATGCGGTTTTTCACCTGAAATGATAAATTTTAAAAAAAATCGTCATGTACACATGAGCGTTATAGATGTTTGATCGGATAGAGGGCGGCTGTGATGGATCTAAGATTTTAGTGTTTCATAGTCGATTAGAGATCGCGTCCTTTTAAAACCATCACCAGCTTCTTTTGAATGACCCTTGGTTAATACGGCAAGATTTTGATACACAGTTATAGAAATTTATTTTATTCGACCTGTATGACTATACTTTTGTCATATATATTTGATTCGATTAGTTAGTATCATATGATTGGAGATACATAAAAATCATTCTTTACGATAGAAAGAAAATGCCATATCAGTCTTGTCCGTTCTTTTACAATTTTGTGATTAACTTCTAACCTATTAACTAAATATTTGAAACAAGCAAAATTTAATACATATAATACTTCTTACTTCTCCTAGGTATAAGAAAATAATCTTTATATGCCAAAAGATATAAAATTTAAAATTGTACAAAATTCACATCTGCTCAATCATTTCCTATTCTCTGTTAATGCTTATTAATTTTTAGAAAGACAATACCAATAGGTAGAGAATTTTGTGACATAGTTGCACAATTAATCATCAGTATTTTTTTGTTTTCTTGACTGTCACAGTCAGACGACTAAATAAGTGTTTCTCTTTTAAATTTTGCGCTAATAAAAAAGTTGTTTCAAAAAATAAAGTCAACAATCTTCTAGATTTTGAAATTTTCTATCGTCAGGTACACGATTGAATGAGAAAAAATTGTACGAAAATTTAATGTAATTTCTTCTAGGACATCTGAATAAAACTGATGATACAACATCAAACCCTTTTTTTCTAATTACTTGTGTAAAATAAAATTTATTGCTTCCTGTAGAAAGTTTAATTTACGCTTCTTATGCTTCAGAGTGAAACGGTCGCCATCTTCTTATGAAATTTTTTTTGCTTAGCAGAAGCGAAAAATAACAGCTTATTTCTGACTATGATTGCTGTGATTTTCTTACAGGAAAGAAAATTAATGATTTATCACTAATAACTTCTTTCTTTCTGTTTTATGTGTGTATACACATTAACTTCGAATATAGTCGAAATGAAAAGGAATCAATTCTGAAAGGGAGAACACATGAAACAATCATGTGATGATGAAAATCTTTCAATCATCGTTGATCAACAATCGAGTGAGTCTTATTTTTCTTCACGTTCGATAGGATGACTCAAACTCGGTAAATGTCTAGTCTCATTCCTTTGCTGGTTTTCTGGTTCACTTTTTTTTTTTTGAATAATCTATGAAAATTAATGTTTTCTACAAACCTGTATGAGTTCGTGTATGTCGACTTAAAAGTGAAGGTCGATCAAACATTTTACCACATACATCACATGTCCACGATTTACGTTTACGTCGATTATTGTTTATATAATTACCTGATGATTGAATCTTTGAAAAAGAATCAAGGAAAATTCACAAAAAAAAAAAAATCTAATTATTATAAACTTACATTTAAATCAGTTTCAATTATCTTCTTTTTATTATTAACTGTTGATGATAATAAATTATCAATCATAAATGCTGCTGATCGTGTTGATATGACTGTCATAGTTGTGATCTACTGTTCTTCAAATGTATGATCAGTAAAAATAGACTAGATCAACTTTGATTTTTCAGATTACTTTTTTTTCTTCTTCTTCTTTTGCGCTCTAGCCAATCACAATTTCAAAAAGAAAAAATCAGTTGATTATCCAATGAGAAAGTTCATCGTTTTTTTTTTTCTGTCCGATTCTTACAACATTTGTTTCAACAGACGAAAGAATAGCATCCGGTACTTAATTATCAAAATGTTGTTCATTGTATGAGAACAATCCGGATATGCAAAGTGATTTATGAACTCAATTCGAATGAGTTTGTCTATAAGAAAAAAAAAAAAATCAGTAAGAATAGATGACGAAAAGCTAAAGAATGTTATTGTATAGACTATTCATTCAATAATAATGATGATAATGGGACAAGTGCACATTGTACATTTTGAGAACGAATAATGAAGAATAAGAAAAAGCAAGAGAAGAACAGGAAATGTGTATGATGCTTAGTGAAGCACTCGTTGTCTAGTTTAACCGAAAGTTAATGATATTTTTGACGAACGAAGATTTCTTTTTTTTTTTTTTTGTTTTATCAAGAGAATATAGAAGACGAAAAAAAAAACTTGAATGATTGAATTTAATTATGTAAGTGAATATAAAAAAAAAACAACATGAAGAATATAAATAAATCGATGAATTTGATTGAAAGAATTCTATTAGGTAAATAGATTATTTATTTATAAAGCAATTACAATGAATCTCTTTTTTTTTTTTTAGTCAATATTTACATATAATAATCTTTTTGTCTTCTGAAATTTTTCTAGTACTAAAATTGTAATAATGATTTAATTGATATATACTCTAAAGGGTGAACTGAAAGTATCTAGAGAAAATATTTGACTATTTTTCGTGTGTTTGAGAGAAGAGATACGGACTTATTCGACTCCTGCGATTTAATTTGATGGAGTTATAAGCATTGAAACATGAGAAACACTAAAGAACAGAAGTATTTAATAATGCGTATTTCAAATATTTTTGAGACATTTTTTTCTTCATCGTAAAATTTTTGTTATTCTTGGGTTTTTAAAAGAAATAATAGAATTTATATTTCTGATTGATTTATTATTTTCTTGTAACAATCATTTGAGAAAAAGGAAGATTTTCAGGAAAAGCTTTTGGAAGATAGGCTTTGAAAAAGAAAGAAGAAATTCACTAACTTGCAATGACTTATGGATTTTTCATCATCATCCTCATACAGATAAGTTCACCGAATGAGATAGTCGTGCTGAAGCAGTCAACATTTTATCCTGATTCGGAGCTTTAAAACAAAAAAAAAATATATTGAATAATACCCCGAACTTAGATGGAGTTGTTTCAATTTTCCTGTTGACAAGCCGTATTTTGAGAAAAACGCAAAAGAAGTTTTCGAAGTGAATTTTTTTCATTAAAGTTTTTGAAAAGTCATTTTAAAATGGTATATTTTCAATATATTTCATAGAACTTTTTTGAAGTGCATAACAAATGAAGTAGGCTGACATCATTTGTCATGCTTAAATAGTATTGCTCTCTTCCTTTTTAAGTAATAATACATGCACTCTTATATTAATGTACATTCTTCATATGTTGATACACATTGACCTTTCGACAAATAAAAAAATAAAATTTTTTCGCCAAAAGTTAGTAAGAAGATACTCTAGACAAATTGTATATAACTCAATTCATATTCTCATGCCAACAAACATTATGATTTGTTGTTTTCTAGATTTTTTTACCTAGTCTACAATTTTGACAAGAGAAAGAAAACTCCCACTGAATCAAAAAATTTCCACATTGCAAAAAATCATTAAAGGGGTTCCTCATGAGTTATTTCCCAATTAAAACTGGCCATTTGGCACTGAAATTTTCAGTATTAAGTGGCCATAGTGAGAAGGATTTGTAGTAAAAAATTTCAGTCGGATATCTAATATTAGACCAAATTTTCAGCATTTTTACTAAACATGATGTTCAAATAGGCACTAAAAAGAACCTGTACTCAATACTAAATTTAATTTTTCTCAGCCTAGGAATTCAATATAAAAAATCTGGTAGGACAAAAGCTTACTCTCAAGTAGAGCTTTAAAACAAAACAAAAAAAGTATTGACTATAATTTGAACCTGATGGGAGTTATTTCAGTTTTCCTAGCCAGAAATCATGTTCTGAAAAAAACAATACAAATGTTATAAAGATGCATTTTTTTCGTTCAAATCTAGGAAAAATTATATTACAATAGGATTTTTACAATACAATCCGGTGGAGTATTGTAAAGCACGTAACAGATAAAGGTTGCTGACGCTATCTGACACGGACATTAATACAAAAATATTGTATTCAACGCTAATGCAAGTGTCAATATAGTTTTTCTAAAAGAGAAAAATCTCGAAAATTTCTCCAAAAATATAGTTATGAAGCCAAAGTTTGATATAATAAGCCTGTGAAAATCTGTTCATTTCTCAAAAAGCCATAGATTTTCTGAAAGAGGAAGCTTCGCTGCATCTTCCTCTAATAAAATCTCAACTTCGAAATTTTTCCGAAAAATTGGATTTTCTAAGAGGGCACCTTAGACGAAAAATATATTGAATGTGTACACCCAATCAATATCATATCTATACTGACACTATTCTCTTGGATATGATTTGTCGGTATTACTTATGTATGATTTATTAATATTTTTTTTCGTCTGACTTTTTTTCTATATATATATATGCTATTTACACGTCATAAGATTTTGAAGAAGATGAATTATCTATCTCATATGATGATTTGTTCGATTGTGTTTTATTCTATTCGAGGAATAGGAAAGCCATGAGCTGGAATAAGATATTTATAAACCACACTGCAAAGGTAATTGCCGAAAACTACAAATTTTGTATCAGCGGTATTTTTTTAGAATAAATATGAAAAGAAAAATAAAGTCTTGCAACTTTTTTGAAGCTTGAAAAATATGTTTTCTAGGTTGTTTTTAGACTATATGAGCTAAATTTTCATAACGCTATATATCAAAATATAGCATATAAAAGATACTATCGAAATCAGCGCTTTTAAAACATGTTAGATCTGTTCTTGATTCTGTAATCAATAAGATTTGAAAGCTGAAATTTTCATAAAAAAGATCTTTCTTCCAAAAATTATCAATCACTATATCGAGAAGTTACATATAGAATCGATCTGTTTTGCACAATTTGTTCACAATATATGTGATTTAAGAAACGCAAAAAAAAAACAAAAGTTGAATAAATTTTTTCTACTTCTACAACACGAATAGATAATGACGACAGTCAACTGGTTCAGTTTCTTCGTGAAAAGGCAATGTATTCCTCTTGAAACTACAAGCAAATTGTATCTCTAATACATGATAACAAAAAGCGTCCGCTATGCTATAACTGATATTATTCTCTGACCAAGTTCCAAGATCTATTTTAGAGGTGTTCAGTTTTAACTATGTTTTTGTTTTCTTTTCATATTTGTTCTGAAAAAATATCGCTGATACAAAATTTGTAGTTCAGATATTACTCTTTTAAACAAAACAAAATTCAATTCTCGATAATGTTTCTAAACGGAGAACAATATCTTGACATTTCGACAATTACTTTTGCATTGCAAGTAGATCAGTTTGTTTGTATACTTGATTTTCAAAAGTAAACTCATCTATAATGCACGAATTTGTGTATTTTATTCAAAATTTTTGAATTTAAACAGTTTTTTTTTTGATTATTTTACATTCGGATCAAAGCATCAAGAATATGATAGTGATAGTTTAACTTGAGAAATGTTAGCCTTTAAAAATTAAATCTTTGATGAAGATTAAGAATTTTTGATAATGTTAGGTAAAAGAAGAGTCTAACCTTCTATTGATAGTCTTTTATATTATTCATTAGAAATGAAAAGAATTTTTAAATTTAGTATATCGATATAATAACAATATTACATCGATATAGCAATGATATTCACTAATGTCGGGTTTTTTTAAAATGCCATATGCCATATTTTGAACAACTCTTCATTGCTGATACCTATCGAATTTGGATTTTACTCATTCGATAGATTACTGCGGGAGCATCTATCTATATAAGATTTATCAGATTCAAAGAAGTTTTCTATGACTATTATTAAAATGAAAAATTTTTCGTTGTCTATTTTCTTATGTGATTGCTAATAATTTTTAAAAAATCGGACATTACACTACAGTAATTTTTCATTTTTTATGATTGATTGACTTGATGATGTCAAGTAGTACAAGGCAAAAGTTTAAGAAAGAATTATAAGTAGTTTGAATATTATCTAAAGATGTATTTTATCATATAGTTAAAAATGTAAAGTATAATTAGAAAAGTAAAAGAAAAAGATTGTATATGAGATTTCAGACTTCTTCATATAATGTTTTTTTTTCAGTGTCAAAAATAAACATACAAGCATAATTTTGTATTTTGTTTATGTTAAAACATAATCTAAGAGTCGTCAACTTTGGAGAAATCTGTTTTTCTATTTAATTGTTTATATGAACATGATTAGTTAGATCATATATTTTCTGAAATAGATAAAAATTCGATGGAATTTTAAGAAATAAAATAGAGAGATATATGATTTATCTTTTATGAAGAATCTACGATTGTTTTAATCCATTTCATGAATAAAATTGAAACTATTCGATTTTTTTAATTACAGTTGCGTTCGTATTATAAAATTTAACTTATAAAAATATCAATGTAATGTTATTTTGTATAACTAAAAACAACTATAAACCTTGGAGACTTCAACCTATTTAGATTGTTATATACAATATCCAAAGTAATTTGTTATCGATAGATTTTTATCGAACTGCGGCTTCCCAAACAATTATCTAAATCTTTTCGTATGAATAGACACTATGGTAAAAGAAGACTGTAGTTGAGCGAAGTGAATATGTTCTACCGCAAGTTATAAATAGGTCTTATAACTATTAGAATATCTTCAAAGTGTAAACTAGTGAGAGAACATATCCAAATGTCGGATGCCGATCGAGCTCATATTTTGCCTATACGTAGGGTTCAATGAGACTAGTGAAAGCTCAAACGGATACGTGCTCCTGCGGAGTTATGACCGTTTTACTTAACTTGCTTAAAGTCGAATATTCAGTAAAACGGTCATAACTCCACAGGAACACGTATCTTTTTGGGCTTTCACTAATCTCATTGAGCCCGATCGGCATCGAACACTTGGATATGTTTCCATGTGAGTTACATCTCTGACTTTATCATTTGACTTTTCAGCAATACATACATTTTGCATTAGAAGAAAAATACACAGTAGCTTTTTTGTTGACTTGATGTTTTTTTTTTCCGAATCTGTGTATATTCTAATATTCATTGTTTTGTATTAATTTTGAATTGAAGGTTATTTTCAAACTGTTTAAGTGATAATATTATTTTTATTGACTTTTATATTATATTGAAAAAAAATTTGAAAGATCATCAGAAATATACCGGCCATTATAAACCTATTTTCTTTTCATTTGATTTAGATACTTTCATTCTCAATACTTAAATGTTAAAATAAATGTTCGTGATTTAGATTCTTAATACTTCGAAAAAGAAAAAAGCTTTTTTTCTTATCCCTTTATTTATAAATGAAAATCTTCTATCTCTTGTACATGTCATACAAATATATATATGTATACATATATACATATATCTATATATCTCAATAAGTCAAAACAATCTCTTGTTACTTTATTGACAAAACGTGTCAAACAACACTTGAGGATTATCGATAATAGAGAGGACACATATTCTTTCTCCTCCTGGATTAATTGTATAAAACAATAATAGCAAAAAGAAAAAGAGGAAGAGAACTTTATACAAGCACATGTGTAATTGTCAATTGTCAAAAAAATAAAAACGAAACAGAAAAAGTTGAGCCTCTTGTCACACGTGCTTGTCATTCATATAGAAATGAGTTATGTAATAATGACAACATAATCAAGAGGATGTTTAGTTGTTGTTGATCATTCATTTTCAAGTAGAATGGTCAATGAATGATTGAAAGAATGACAATGTATGTGAATGAAATGATATAAATGACGGCACGTTCGGCGCATCATCAAGATCCGAGAAAATGTTATCGAATAATTTTAATTGCACAACGGATTTATAGTAAAGAATTAGAAGAGAGAGAAAACAAAGAAACGAATACACACGTACAAGGAGAAGATCAGTCAGTCGAATAGTGATTAACTTTTTTTTCTATCGATTATTCAGTACAATATTCAAAAAAAACAAAACAAAACAAGAAGACATGCATCCTTATATATCAAACTATCCTATTCCAACATATCCATCATTATCATCATTTGTTCATCCACTTATACCTTCAGTAAATACTAATGTTATGGCAACATTTCCATTTTTTCATGGATCACCTGATCGATTTACAGGTATTGATAAAATCAAAAGATTTTTTTTAATATCATGAGAAAATAAATATTCTAGAATTTCTTCTTGATTCTCGTCATCCACGTAAACAACGTCGTTCTCGTACTGCTTTTACCAGTCAACAATTACATGCATTAGAAAGATGTTTTGTTAAAACACATTATCCTGATGTTGTTATGAGAGAAAAACTTGCTCTTTATACAAATTTACCTGAAGCTCGTGTACAAGTAAAATATTTATTTAAAGACTAGGTCAAAAAAAAAAATGAATCCTTTTTCTTTTAAATTTAGGTATGGTTTAAAAATCGTCGAGCTAAATATCGAAAGAAACAAAAAATAATTGTTGATACATCAAAAAAACGAACAACAGTTGTAAATGATATTCAAACAAGCGATGATGATGATGGTGGTGATGATGATGATGGCAATGATTCAAATTTAAAACATGATACAA